ACATACTAAGCAAAATTGAAAATTCCTTTTTTCTCGAACCAGTTCTTTCATTTGGCTAGTTTGTTGTGGCTTCTGGATTTTAGGGTTCTTCGTCGGAGTCCAGAGATTGCTCGTCGATTTTCTTCAACCAAAATGGAGAATCCATCATCGGATCATCAAACTCCTGATACTTCCTCCATTCCTCCTCCAGTTGACGGCGAACTTCGCCACGATCACGCCGTCGTTACCGAACTTGTCGAGCAACAGCATCCGTATGTTTGCTTTCTCAATTTCGAACTTGTTGATAGTTCATATAGTGTTCTTCGGCTTCGCAAGATAACTGATTGATTATTAGCTCTGGATATTGAGTTTTTAGTTGGAGAAATGTTTGGTCTCTTGGATTCTTGACTAGTCTCAAATCGATAGCTCGCGTCCACATATCCGATGTTGGTTCTGGATCTTAGTGTTTAGATCTGTCTTAAGTTTCTTATTATGCTGGTTAACTAAGGAATGCAAGAAACTCTAGTTCAATTTCGATTACAACATTTCTCTGCTAAAGCAGTTTTGATCTTTCTTTTGCAGCGGAGTTGAGTTGAAAGCAGAAATTTCTGAGGAAGAAATGAAAGGCACATTAGAAGCAATAGCATCTACCGGGAAGTTCTGGTAATACCACTTTTCGATAGCTATGAGTACGGATTGTTGGTTATGGACTTATTGACTGATTCGCATCTAATCCTTACCTGTTTTGTATTGTTCTATAGAGTTAAGTGAATTGATGAGTGGCTTTCTTTCTGAGTAATTACGGGTTTTAGTGTTTCATCTCTGTATTGCTACATTTGGTTAAGTACTTACTTACCTTGTTATACTACAGGCAGGACTGGGAGAAACTAAAGGGAATGCTATCGTGTTGGTTGAAGAAGGTATGTGCAGGTACACCAGCAGCTTGTTTTCGAATACACATTTTTATTACGCAACCTTTCCGATTATTTCAATATCTAACTATCTATATGGTGCGTTGTAAAGGTTCTGTCAGAATATCCTGAGGCAAAAATGACGGCCGAACAACAAAAGGAAGCCCTAGGAGAAACATACTCAGAGCTGGTTAGTCGATTGGATGAAGGTCTATATCTTACTCATTCGTTACTTATGTTACTTTGCTTGCCAAAAATTGATGTAGATGAGAATTTGAAACTGTGAGAAGAGGCTTGGCGTAGTGGCTAGATCACGATTAATTTTAGGGCTTATTATCTCGCCACTCATCATCTATCTACTTTCTAATAGACTAGCTATCATTCCACCCATCCTTTTTTCTTTCTCAAGTTGCTACCCAGAAAATCTATGCGTAAAGTTAATGAAATGAAATGGCTTGTCACTGTCTGGTGTGGGAAACTTATGCTGAGAAAGCTGTTTAATGATTTTCTGACCTTTTCAAGTTCTATTTATGCGTTTACAACTCACTGATTTTTCTTTACCCAGAGACCTATTGTTTCGCAGTATGAAGTATGTTTAATTGGTTGTCTTTTGCTCTTGTCTTGTTTTGCAGCCCTTCTTAGCTTTGATGAAGGCCCTCCATTTACACTGCAGAGGCTCTGTGAGGTAATAATATCTGTTTGTTGGTCATGCTTATACTTCAATGCAGAGTTATCATGTTCTTATTATCTCGAGATTTAGTAAAATAGTGTAAGAGGCTAAGATGACTCCATACATTATGTCTGTTTTTATCCATCCTCATCAATTCCTAAACCCCACTTTTTTGATAAATTCCTAAATCAACTGATTTTTTTTTTGGATTTATGAGATATCAAGATTACTAGTCTCACTAGCCATTTGTAACTCGTGGAAAAAGTTTCTATTGTCAAAGCATGCCATGGAAGTGTCTGATAAAAAACTCCTCTTTTCTTTGTTCATAAAATCTTCTGAAATTCGGTTGACTTCATATTCACAAAGCTTTCTGATTTATTTGTGTTCAACAGATCCTTTTGGCTGCAAGGAGCATCTACCCAAAGCTCTCAAAGCTTGCTCTTGCATTAGAAAAAGTACGAATTTGGAAGCCTTACCTTAGTGATTTTATAATCAATATACACATTTCTACATTGATTTAGTAAAAAAAATTGCTGTTCTTTGCAGAACCTGTTGGTTACTTCTGTGTTAGCCATCAGTACGGATTCACAATCACAAACTACTGAGAGCGCAAACTCAGCAACTGAAGACACCAAAACGGCTGTAGCAAATTGGGCACCAAATGGAGTTGAAGCAATGGGAGGAGGCGATAAGGATGAGATAATGACAGAGGTAGAAGAAGCAGATGTTGATGACGCGATGACTATTGACATGGAAACGATCGATGAACCATCAGAGACAATGACCACCACGAGTGAGAGTGAGACGTCAAGTGAGAACAGTTAAGTGTCTGATTATGTTGTTACTTTCTTATAATTCTTTTTCATCATTTATTTGGCATGTTTTGTTTATTATCTTGAGCTATGAACTTTCTCTAGCTGCTGCAAAACCATCATCGGATTCAATAGCTGCAGAGGAGGGTGATTCGCCATTGCCTTGAGCCATGTGGATGCTTCAAGAGACAGAGTTTGAACATGATCAGATTTGAGACTGATTTCGAATATAATGCTAGTTGTACGAGAAGAGACGTTCTTGGATCTTGATATTGCACTTTATAAATAGGCTTAAGAAATTTGCGTGTTGGTGTAGTTTTTGGTTTACAGTATATGGTTGAATGGTTAATGCTCCAAACCAAGGACGGAAATTAATAGTAAAGCAACGTAAAAAAAGTCCACAAAAAAAAAATACACATAATAGCAATTCAAACGACGTCGTTGTGATTGTGGCTTGCGTGGTAACTTGGTTATTTATCAGCAACCACGCGCAGGCTTTTCCATATCAATAATGAACATTATGAGTCCACCATAAAGCCGAATATTATGAGAAAAAATAATGAGCATTTATATTTGTCTGTCAAAAAAAATAATGATTACAAAAGGATCTATTTTTTCTACAAAAGTTTCATCCGGACAAAGATGATCCCAAAGGAACGCTTTTCCAGATGATTACATATTTCATCAGCAGAATATAGTCAACATACAATGAAGCTCTCATAGCAGCATGATCCAAATTCAAAAGTAGCCTATTTGATCTAATATTTGCCATAAAGAAGATAATTCTTTCCTTGGCAAGAAAAGTTTGTGATTACCGTCTTAAAGACAAGAAGAAGACATCATTAGCCATGGATCAAAGTATCAATACCTGCAAGGAGAAAAGACATTACCACCTAGATCAAGGTCATGAGTTTTGCGAGTTAGTGTACTGTTTAGCTTCCCGGGTTCTCAGGTGTCGCATAATACCTGGAAGAGTTAAAACGAGGGGCCAACCGATGTGAATCCAGCGGCTTTAACATCCTTAAGCGTCGATGATAACCAATCCAAGCCTTCGTAAAGCCCGTCTCCACGAAGAGCACAAGTTCCTTGTATGTGCCATTTCCTGTTCTTGAGATCAAATAAACCTAACCCTTCGCATACTTCTCTCGGTGACATGGCTCCTCTCTTATATCCACAAGGAGTTCAAGGAAGTGAATTGGGGAAACACAGTCGAGAAACAAGCAAAAAAAAAAACAATACCAAACTAAAGCTTGATTTTACCATGTCTTGTTTGTTTGCAAACACCAGAATGATACTGTTGAGCATGAATGGGTCTTTTATAATCTCCTGAGGAAATCAGACAGAAGGTTAACGCACTATCCAGAGATTTTACATAAAGTCTTCTGCAAATGCTTAGGTATATATACCTGAAACTCTTGCTTTGCTTTCCCAATCCTCTCTCGGTCTAAGGAATCCACCACGTATATCTGCAAGCACGCACATGTTAAGAGCAGACTTTATACAGGGATGGGCAAAGATCACAAGATAGGCCAAAACAACATATGATACTGCAACGTCAGAACCAAATATGAGAAAACTAGATGCCAACAAAGAGATGGGCAACTTGCAAGTTAAGTATCTACCCTGAAATCACAAAGCTAAAAGGAGTATATACGTACAAGTCCATCAGTGTTATTGAAGTAATGCCTCCAAAGAGGTCTTAGTTTCTCTTGGCCACCGACATCCCAAACTGTGAACATCACATTCTTGTACTGAACTTTCTCCACATTGAATCCTGCATAACAAAGTTATAAATTGTCGGTCACAAGCCAGGTATCGTAACTGCATGACATAAGAGAGATTCACTGACATTCTTATCCCACTTCTCATCTTACAGTCATTTCATTAAGGCAAAAACAACTCCTTAAATCAGCAATCAGAGTTTTCTCGTAAGGTCTAACAGAGTTCACTTTAAGACTCTTTACAAAACAAGGAATGAATCCCACTAATTAGCTGATGAGATTCCCAGCTATAACAATCACACAGATTCTGGAAAAGTTACTCAATACATGTGCAAAATAAAAAAAGCACACACACAAGCTTACCAATGGTGGGAACAGTTGACAAAACTTCTCCAATGTGAAGTTTGTAGAGAATAGTTGTTTTGCCAGCTGCATCCAGCCCCAACATAACGACCTGACATCATCACAAAATTGAAAAAGCAATAAAAAAAAAATCGATTTCTTCAATTTGGTTCATACAACAAATCTATATGATTAGTAAGAGAAAAAGAATCAACCATATCAATTTCTTCAGATTTTAAACGGACAAGAAACAAGATTAAGTTTAAGTCTTTTTCCAAACCCTAAATTCCAAACATGAAGATCAGACATGGGCGATTAAAGCTACGACTAAAAAACCCAACAAATCAAGGACAAAATTACACGAGATCTCGTCAAGCAAAACCCAGAAAATGATTGGAAATCGAGAGATGATGAATTATTTACCCTCATTTCTTGATTGCCGAAGAAAGAATCGAATAGCTTACGAAAAGCTTGACCCATCGCTCCGAAACCAAAAACCTCTCCGAAAAATTGAACTTTTGGAAAAAATTGAAATCGCAGAGAAAATGAGGAGACGACGATCGATTTGGAGGGAGGAGGAGACAAAGGAGACGGCGAAGAGAGATTGAAGGGAGTAATTGCGCGTTTTGGTCCAAAGGAATTCACGAGGAAGTCTTCAACGGAACGGAGGAGAAATATTCATATTCCAATTCTTTTTCATTTTTTCAAATTATTAAATACTTCCGACATTCTCTCAATTTCCGAAATATATTACTAAATAATGAAATATTCCATATATTATTATAAGGCTGTGCGGCCCAAATCATTACAAAATTCAAATTCTTCTTATCGCATGTTATGGGCTAGGGGTGGAACGGATACTGATAACCTAAAATTTTAAGGTATCAGGATCCGAATCCGGAATCGTCCAATCTATAAAAAAAATTATCTGGATCCGGAATCGGAATCTCCAGATATTCGGACTCTGGATATCCAGCAAAAAAAAACGGATATCCGGATCCAGATCAAAAATTAATATTAAAAATAATTAAA